GACATCACGACGATATTGACAAGATCATCAATCTTGCCAATCAACAACCTCGTCAATACCAGCAATTCCTGAAAGGAATCGAAAAGCTTCGGGAGTCTGGCCGGTTAGATATGTCCAAAGAACAGCTCCGCATATACAACGGACAGCGACGCGAACTCATCGGCCGCGTTATGGAAGATGTCCAAGTCGTGGTCACCTTGCCTTTCAATGTCAAGGAGATGATCCGGCGCAAATTTAACCCGCAATTCGTCATATTTGACGAAGCCAGCTTTTTCCGCGATCCGGATCTCTTCCATGTTCTTGGACAGCTGAGAGCAGATGTCCGTGTCCTTCTAGTGGGTGATCACAAGCAGTTATCACCCCCTGTTTTTACGGCAGCCGGGAACGCAGCCTGGTCAAAATCGGCTTTCGAGCGTCTGATTGATAAAGGGTACTCTCAAACCCTTCTCAATATCTCTTACAGGTCACATAAGGACCTTTATGAGCCGACCTCGGTGGCCTACTACGAGGGCAAGGTTGATACCTTCCGGAGTCAGCCGAGTAGAGACATGCAAATCACCTCGGCGAATCCGTTGACAGTCCGCCTGGGGAATAAGACATGGACTCTGCGCCGGCTCTCCCATTTCCTCCATCTCCCCCATAGTGAAGGGGATACGCGCAAGGATCCCTCGGGATCCCTGTACCACGAGCAGGAAGCCGAGCTTGGGATCTGCCTGGCCCAACAGCTTCTGAACAGATGTACCGGGAGCATTCTCATTATGTCCCCTTACAGAGCCCAAGTCGCCCTGGTGAACCGGCTTTGGGACCAGAGGTTCTCTGAGCTTCGGCCCCGCCCTAGGATTCAAACCGTGGATGCGTCCCAGGGTTCGGAGGCTGATGTTATCATCGTCTTGATTACACGTAATCATGGCGCCCCCGGCTTCCTCCACACGACGAAGCGGACCAACGTGATGCTGTCCCGGGCACGTAATGCCCAGTACGTTATCGGCGACTGGGACTGGCTGGGCAGCAAGGTCTTCAGAAAGGACGCCGCCTCGTTTTTCAAGTACCTCAACGAGGCCGAACGTCTTGTGGGGAAAGACCAGTATTCCGTTAAGTCGTGAAAGGGTTCAGAATAAGATGCGGGCTAGCGGCTGTTCTTAATTCAAGAGAATAACTACAATGAATAATCCTCTTAATGAGATAGTATTCTAATACTATGAAGTATACTACTACGTATATAACATGCTAGACATCCTAGGAAAAACTGCAGTGCCAAGAATAGTAAATATTGTCAGAACATACAAAAACCAGAACAATACCAGTAACCAGAGAGATTTCTCTTTTGGTCTACTTGGTATCTGTCTCAACAAATATGATAGTAATGATATAAAATAGCTAAAAGAAGACAACAACAGCATGTAACATGAGTGAAGAGTAGACATAAATGTTGCAGGTTAGGTGTAGGACACAAGTGGAAGGAGATGACTGACAGGATGAGATGCAGTAGTGTCACAATCCGCTCCTTCAACTAGGCTATCTAAAATTCTGAGTTAACAGACTCAGAACGCACATCACTTCATCAGCTTACATGCACTATCATTTATGGTCATGTGACCGGCTGTCACACTGACCTCCTAGCTTGGACTAGCTAATTACTTAACGAACTTGACAGGTCAAGAATGTTATTGTGATCGAGTCTGCAGGATGGACTCGATAATTGAGAGTGCAGGATAGTGATGGATGCACAGCACTGAAGTGGGTTCAATACGAGAACCGACTCCATCCAAAACCAAGATAATTGAGACAATGAGCGGTGCTAAAACCACTTCGCCATCACACTAAATCAATTGTTTCATCGGCACTGCCCTGTTGATTGTGTCATGATGAGACTGCTCGGAGTATGCAAGGAAATCTGTCAATTATTTCTCCCACTTTGATGGTTCTTTCTACAATGTTCTTGTCTGCTCAATGCTCATCATGTTCTTCTTCTGGCGGCGGACACCGTTTGGGGCTAAGCTTTTTCTGGGCAGGCTTTTTTTAGCCCGCGCGGGATGGAATTTCCCTCTCACTTTTGCTCCGAGACAATCAAGCAAGTGAAGCAAAACAACTAACCCAGCAAGCTATCCGAGCTATTCTTATCGTCATCCTGTCTCTCTCTCCCCCTCTCTCAGCCAATTGACCCTCGGGAAAACCCACAATGGCTGTTGACGCTATTCCCAACCCTGCACCTTTTATCGAATCCCTACTCGGATAATGCCTTACGCAGCATGCGCTCAGCCCTGGCGCCCACCGCGTGATCGGCCAATGGGCCAACGCGATCCCAAAACTTGGCTATTCGGGCGTGGGTCAACTCGAAGGGTTTTTGACCACCGCTCCACTGGCCCGATAAACGAAAGAGCGGCCGGACTATCAGCTGGCCAGCAAAATGACTAGAGCAAACTAAGCGATGGGCAGACCCTGAGGGCCCAGGGCTTCAAAAGCAGCAAGTCTCATCAACATGGCTCCAAGCTAACTCTTGCTAGTCCGCTGCTGGCTTATCTGCTGTCGCAATCCGGTCCTGCCTTTTGTTTTCCTTTTCCCTCTTTTCCTTTCCTTCCCTCTCTCCCCTCCATCCTCTCCTCCGTTCGTTCCCTCCTGATCGTCTGCCAACCAGTATGTGACCGATGGCTTTCAATCACTTCAACAGAAAGCAGAGGCTGCTTCTGTCCTCTTACGCCATCCTTTTTTTCTTCCTTATCATCATCTGCCACTTCCGGTCCGCCCGTGACCCAGGCTCGTTCTTCTTCCAGCCTACCGAAGGTTATCGCCCGGGATACAGTCTCCAACGGATCCACGAATCGCTGGAGTGGCTGTCTGCCTTCAACCGTTCCGACAATGTCCCGCCCCGTCCCGTCTCCCATGTCAGCCCGCCACGGGAGAAGACCGCCTGTGTCGGCATCGTTACCGTCAAGCGTCCCCTGCAGCAGGACCTCGACACAACCGTTGCTTCGATTCTTGATACCCTTTCACCGGAGCAGCGAGCGGCGCTGACCGTCCAAGTGCTTTTCGCCCTGAGCAAACCCTCCGATCACCCGGATTACAATCAGACATGGCTATCGAATGTGGTTGACCACGTACTCACCTACGACGATGTCGACGCACCCGGGTATATTATTATGAACTTGGAGAAAAAGAATAACATAAAGAAGAAGTCTCTGATCGACTACCGGCTCGGGCTACAGGCATGCTACGACATGACCGACGCGCCGTGGATCATCATGCTGGAGGACGACGTGGTGGCCCAGCGCAATTGGTACGAGGACACCATGCGCAGCGTCCAGCAGGTAGAGGACTGGCGCCGACACGATACGATCAAGGACTGGCTATACCTGCGGCTCTTCTACACGGAGAAGTTCCTCGGCTGGAACTCGGAGAATTGGCCCATCTACCTGTCCTGGAGTGTGCTGCTCGTCTCCCTCTGCGCCAGTGCAGGCATGTACACTCGGCGGAAGATCCGCGCTACCCAGGGCATCCTCACCAACTCGTTCCTGTTGGTAGTCTGCTTCTTCTGCGTGCCGCTACTGATCACCCTCTTCTTTCTGGCTGGTCGGGTCACCTGGTACCCGATGCAGGATGGGGTGCACGTGATGAACGCGCACGGCTGCTGCTCGCAGGCCCTTCTCTTCAATCGCGAGAACGTTCCAGCCCTCCTGGAGTACTTTGAGCACATGGAGGACGTGATCCCCACCAAGGCGGTGGACAGCGTGATCGAAATGCAGGCGGGGCGGGCCGAGCTGGACCGACTGGCCATCTCCCCGTCGCAGATGCAGCACGTTGGAGCAGTTTCGTACAAGGAGAAGAAGAAGTCGTGGAAGTGGGAGGGGCCGTATCGTGTCAAGGGCGCGCACGGGGTCTGGAGTATGGGATTTGAACAGGCGTACGAAATGGACATGGATCGATTATTCCAGATGGACGGTTCGGCATGATTATATACGCTGTATGCAGCAACGCATGGCATGGATGGGATGCACTGGTTTATGAACACGCATGACTGGATTAATGTTTATGGTGTGTATATATACATAATGGTTTCTTTGGTTTGTGAATAATAGAATTACTATACTTGCAGGATGACTGTACAATCCTTCCCCTTGCTACAATTCCGAACAGCAGCCCTCAGGGATAGTAGATATTCACACAGGAAAACCATACTTTCTAACCAGTATATAAGTAATGCTGTTTCCCCCCTCCCATTGCTTAATACCCATTGCTTCACTAAACTATCTCATAGCTATTATCCTAATTTGTTGGAAGAGAATAGAGATAGATATCCTCCCTGCGGGGAAATCCTAGACCTACTTACTATGCAGCAGTAGTACATAAAACAACCAATCGACTTAAAATATACTAGTAACCAAAAGAACAACCAGGAAGAATTTTCCACTGGGTTTCCATCAGTCGGCAAAAAGTTCTGGAATGAATTAAGGAAAATCATAATCCAAGGTAATATAGTAAGTGGTAGTATAATAAAGGGAAAAAGTGGGGTCAAGTTAGATTAAGAAGTTTCCACTTTCAGGCATGGTTGGCGCCCATGAATGAGGTAAGAGAGGTTGAACTTAGTCTTCAAGGTAGGGCCCTAGAAGGAGAATTAAATTGATGGAAGAACGAAGAATTGAGGAATAGAAGAATGAAAGATGAAATGTAAAGACACTCGAGAAAATCAAATTAGAAGAAGAGGGATGGAAGAGAAGAAAAAAAACTGTCTCGGTCATTCGGCCCCAAAAGCAGGACGTCATTTGATCAAAATCAAAGTCTTGGCTGCTCGTTCAGTCTTTTCTTTTCCACTCAGTCTTTCTTCTCGCTCGCGGCCTTTGCCACTTTGGCGGCTCCTCAGCTCTCTTCCACTCTCTCTTTTTCTGTGTTGATCATTGCTGGGTTAGCTATTGCGTGCTTGCTTTCCCTTCCCACTCCTCTTCAAATCATCTTCACATCTTCTCCTTCATTCTCTTGATTGAGAGTTCACATTCGCGTTGTTGCGCCTTCGCAATCAATCGCATCCCATACTTCCCTTACTACTGACTCTGATCATCCACTCTCCCGATCGCATTCTCTCTCCGCCCTCCCCTTCCCCTCCACTCCCTCGTTCGGCAACAATGGGCGGCGCTAGAAATATCTCCCACGGCCGCGGCGGCGCAGGTATGTTTAGCACTATCTCTTCCTCTGTATCGCTCTCGCAGTCTCCCTCTTTTTCAACTCACAATATCACCTCATCTAACGCGATATTGTTCCCACCCCACAGGCAACATCTTCTCCGGCCACAATGAATCCCGCACCACCCCAAAGGACCTCGTCACCCCCACCATCAAACAAGACATCTTCACCACCGGTCGCGGCGGCTCCGGTAACATGATGCACAATGATCCGGAACACCCCGAATTAGCCCGAGAAATGCAGGATGTGGAGTCGCCCCCATTGCGCGTGGAAGAAGCGCCGCACTTTATGGGCCGAGGTAATTTCCCCTATACCTCCCCTTTGTCCGTGGTCGTGTCTTTTCAAACAATGATGCTAATCAATGGGTTGTAATAATTGTAGGCGGCGCTGCAAACGCATATATCCCTTCCGCGGAAGAAGAGAAGCGCGTGCGCGAACAGGAAGAGGAGCAGTTGAGGCGTGTGCGCACGCAATCGAAGGATCGCAGGAAGGATGCTGAGACCGCCAGTGTCGCTGGTGAGGGTACCGGTGCTGGTGCTGGGGTTGGTGAAGAACGGAATCCGTCCAGTTGACTAGCACATGTTTGGAGTTGAGGATGAGGTTGGATCTATTGCTGGGAAGTCATTTCTGTCAGTTATTTCTGCTGGCAGATATGGCATGGCAATGTATGGCATGGCGTGGTGAGGTATGGGAAGAGATAGTGAGTGAGTGAGAGTGAGCTGCGTCCTGTCGCTTACACTAACTTACTATTCTCTTTCCTTCCCCTGCTCTGGCTGCGCCGTGCTTTTCTGGCTTTGACTCTTCTCCAAACGTGTGATTATTGTTGCACCATATGTGTGTGCTTGTGTTTCCGGTCCACTCAAGCGAGAGGACCGGACTGGACTGAACTGAACCGGACTTCTGAGATGGATGGGATGAGAGCATCCCGTCTATCTATACTTCGACTGACTGACTGACGACCGACCGATACCTGCACTGCCTGCTCCACACAGTATCCAAGCAGATCAGTGTGCAGGTGCAGGTAGTGCTCGACACCACTTACCTACTCACCTACCTATCTCTCCGTCTCTATACCCATCCCCTCAGATGGAGAGATCCCTTATCATTTCTTCCCATCATATTCCCTCCCATTCGATCTGAATCTGTTTTTGTGTTTTTTGAAGAATACCCATGTAGTAAAGAACTCCGGACGTGGGGAAAAAGAACGGCGCGAGGGTCGGATTTTGTCTTTCTATTTCATTTCAATTCATATTTGTGATTGCTGTTGCGTTTGGACTGGGGGTATTGTTTTTCTTTTTTCAAGTATCATATGTGTCTCTCTCTCTCTCTGTGTGTGTGTGTGTGTGTGTCTTCAGTATTATAACCATTTGATCTCACTTCCATTCATTCATTTTTTATTGCAAAGGTTGGGCAGGGCACACCGGAACCCTTTTGTAGTGTGGTTGTTGGCACTATTGTTACTAGTAGTGAGTCTCCAATGAAATCGCGGGGGCTTATCTATGGGGAGGGCTGCATATTGCTTTTTCTTGCCTTGTTTCTTTAGTGGTTATTACTAGGGGTATTATTATTATTACTTGGGGTTCTGCTAATTCTGTCTATTGCCGAGGTAAATAGTGTAGATCGTGTATGAATCTATAATTCGAATAAAATGTATGTATGCATAGCTTGCTTTGAAATAGAAATGCAATACCAATCAAGTACTCCGTATATTGCTTATGAGGTATCATCCATCTCATGCCAAGTATGTGTCCCATGCGATCATGCCATAGATATTTGTAGGTGGTGTAGATGTCCAGCACCCTGGTTCAGTTTGCGCTGTCGAGTGATTGGCGGTCGGATCTCCTCTCCTTCATGTCCATCGACTAACCAACTAGATTCCACTAGTTGGTCGCATTTGTCTTTCTTCGTTGTGGTGTTCACTCCGCTCCGCTCTTAGTGCTTATTCCCGGTCGGCCTCCCCAAATGTCACTTCCCGTCGTGTCCTGGTCTTCTTTCTATTACAGTTCACTGCATGACTCCCTCTTCTTCAAGACTGCATGAATTCTGTGTAGGTCACTCATGGTAGAGCCTGGCCCACGGATGGCAGGGGTGTTCCCGCCTGCTTTAAGGTATGTCGACGGGCAGCGTGCACGCTGCACGCGTCTCTCAAGGATGGTCATGGTGGCCACACAATGTACTCTCCAGCGCGCAGATGCATCCATATTCGGTGTCTGAAATGAACAACGCGCACTGGAGAAAGGGAAAAAATAGGTACTTATACATCTCGTCCATGAACCGTCTCAGACTGGAGGAATATAGCATCCTGTCGCGTCCACCACCCAACTGATTGAGTCTTTCCAGTCTGCACCCAGGCGCTGGCCGATCTCCCGGATCAGTCGCGCTCCCCACTCGCCCATCCACCAATGTCCTCGCAACGAGTGGATAATCACCGCGTAATGGGCCAAGATGGCTAACGCAAAGGGCTGTCTCTGCTGCAGCAAATCCAAGTATCGCGGCGGGATCTGGAAGATCCACTGGAAGGCAATAATCATGGTTTCTCCGCCCCGGGCCAGCTTGTCCAGCGAGTAGCTCAGGTACCGGATCGTCGTGTCATACGTGTCCTTATCATGGGCGGGATCGCGGCTAGCTAGGTCCGCGTTCATTCGTGTCAGCGACATGATGGCCAGCCGAGACGTGTCGGGCATGGTTGGCTGCGAGGTGTCGCACTCGAGAAGCGGGCTGAACTCGCCATCCGCAACCCAATTGATGATTCCTCCTTGGACGTCCACCGACCCGCGTGTGAACCGAAAAATGTTGAGAAGCTCATTCAGGACGTCCCCGAGTTTGTTCGTCGTCCGAGGGAGAGCGAAGGAAAAGACCACCATGATACTGGACAGAGCAAAAGCGGCATTGCAGTTGGATTGATCCAGACGTCCCGCAATCTTGCTGAGACCGGTCACAGCCCGGGACTGGTGTGCCTGGGCGGTTTGGATGTAATAGTCTTTGGGCGGACCGGAGGGGCAGTTGAAGCCCAGATCCAGGGCGGAGAGAGCCAAGATGCCGTGCATCAAGAATGGGTGGCGCATGGCTTCCCTTGGCACTACGCCCTGCCAGATTCCTTCTACCGAGGTATTTCGCGAGACCGAGCGGTATGTGGTCGTGCACCATTGCATCATCAACTCGAGGTCTTGAATGTTCAGCTCCCCGGTGGGAGTGGAAGGGGCAACGGGGTCCATGACGACGCGGTATTCAGCGAAAATCCTGGGGTTCACGTGGGAAGGGGAGGCGGTGCGGGATGGGGGAAGGGTCGGGGTGGTGGAGCGAGACTTGACCCTAGGCCAGACCAAGGAGGTGGAGGAAGGAATATATTGACATATTATGTTGTCGCTGGTGCAATGGGAGCACTGGGGGTGTTCGTTGGGGCACTGCATCCCGGTTCGATTAGCATCTATGAGGGCGACACAGGACTACCAATCCCGATTTTGAAGAACCACAGAAAAGTGGTGTGGTGTAATGATTCAGGGGAGGGGGGTGGTAGTGGTGGTGGTGGGAACAAAAAGTAGCAAAGGTCCCGGTCCACAAGCAGTAATCAAACAAGCAGATAAAGCTCCACTGATAGGTACATATCTAAAAGTAGGAGGGAGGAGTGGAGGAAGGAGGCAGGGAAGGGAAAGGGATCACTGCATCATTCAGGCATCCAGGCACCCAGGCAATGATGGGGGAGGGGGGAATTGGGGGAAGGGAGGAGGGAAAATAATAGAAGAGAGAAAATTAAAAAGAGGGAAATTGTAAGAAGAGGAAAGCAGCAGTAGAAGAAGGAAAAAAGGATGGAAACTTTAGTGGACCAAACAACCAAGAAAATAGCAGGCCAGGCCAGGCAACTTAAGTTAAGCTTCACCGGGACTAAAACCCCAAGAGCACCTACCTTGATTCGCCGGTTCCTGCACTCAAAACAGCCATTCCGCGCCGGGGCTCTGTAGGTGCGCCGTGCAGGCATTGCTGGGGACTTTTTTCTTTCTTGGGGATTATATTATTATTCTTCTTCCCTGTCGTGTTCTTTTGTTCCTTCTGTCCAGGTTCTGGGTGAAGGAGCAGATGATGCTGGGGAGGGTTGAAGGGAGGGAGGGGGGGAGGTTTCCCAGCAGGCGCAAGGTGGAAGCAGAAGCGTCAAGGATGGAAGGGAGGAGGGGGGATGTTTCATAGGAAGTGTAAAAAGAAGGGAAAATCAATATGGAAAACAATCCCTAAATCAAACAAGCAAGAAGCCGTAATCCCCTCCAACTGTTACAGCTCAACTTTCAACAACACCTTCTTGGCCGGGGTGGATAGTTGGAGATCCATGAGATTTAATATCCAAACAAACGACCGACTCCCCATGAGAGAGAAGGAGAGAGACTAAAGAGGTTTTGGCCTCTTTTCCGGGAGAAGGTTCCAAAACCCGCTCATCGAGACCACCTTCAATTCCACAACCCGCTTTTTCCCTCCACCACCAAAGCACTTTTCCAACAATAATTCCAAAGTTGTCCTAAGCTAGCCGATAGATCGCTGCCCCACTTCCGTTGTCTTTGCACGGAGGCAGTAAGAGCGCGAATCCCCGATGGCATGGATTGGATGGATTGGATGGAACTGGATGGCTCTGGCCTTCCCCAAAAGACGAAACCAGTAAATGCGGGCAGAAAAAAAAAAGGATTTGTGGTGTTTAATGCAGCGCTACGAAGGGCTCGGCGCCCCAACCGCCGTAGCAACAGAAGGGAAAGAGACAAGAGACAGGATGATGCATCATGCGGTCGAATGGGCAAATGGTCATCTTGGTCATCTTGGGTCGCGGTGTACTGAACCCTGGATCATCGTTGCCTCTTTCTTTCTGTCTCTTGTCTGTCATGACCCAGCTCGCTGATGACTTGCCATCTTGAGAGGATGATCATTTATTAAAGATGTACGACTGTACAATTCTTGGTTTAAAAAAAGAAATAAAACTAAGCAAGTACCATGCATGGCCAGTGTTCATCCTACTCTACATGGTATACCGTCTGAGATCTTCCACCTGGGAATGGAAAACGAAAGAGAAAAAGGAAAAAGAGGGTTAACTATTCACTACTAGATATTACTACTATCTGATACCAACAACTCACTAGTACTGATTTAGTCGGATTTAGTGGTGTGCTTTTCTTCCCCCATCCTCGACATGCCCCACCGGCCACCAGCCCAATTGACCCAATCAGGAATAAGCAGTCACACCCCCTGAAGCATCCCCCCCGTTTATCCTACAATAATCTACTGACTATTAATGGAACTAAAGTGTAGTTTATCCCAGATCTTCCCCCGAAACTGAATAAGCAGCACCGGTCCATCCCGGAAGTGATGGACATCCGTTCCCGAATGGAGAATAGAGATGGAGGGATGGACATAGAGGCGGGGGGGGGAGAAGACAAGAACAACAAGAAAAAAAAAATTGATGCTTAAACCCCGACAAGCCAGCAATAAATCTCTCTCGTCATGCCGTCTTGGGACAAAGCCGGGATCCACACCACATCCACTTGCAGCCAAAAAACCTAAAAGTCAAATCCCCATCTTCGGCTCCTGGCCCTTTGCCTATCGTGGCTTAGTGCTAGGCCTCCATGAACCCTGCTTTTGCTGTTTTGGGTAACTCAGATTCTTGGGGGCTTATCGGTCTGCTCATTGGTCTGCTATCTTCCCGCCTTGCCGGATCTGGCATAAGGGGTGCGGGCCCGTGACTCTCCCGCCGCCCGGGGCTGCCTCAGGCCTGATTCGATGGTTCGTTACTCACCATTGGACTGTTGTTAGTACTTTGTAGCTACAACTGTACACCTACACTACTACCCTCACTAGACAGCTAGTGTCTCAATCCCTCCTTCTTCTCCATCCACGTTGTGTCTCTGTTGCATGGCATCCGTGTCTCACATCTCCGAATATCGCCTTCGGTTCCGGAATCATGAGACGCTTGACCCAATGATGTCAGCCAAAACTCCAATCTTCTCATAGCTAGCTAGCTATGGTTCGATCACGACCATTCTGAATCAGTCAATCCATCCAAGAGATAATACCCCGCTTAAGAGGGGCGAGCCGTTGCCGGTCACGGAGGAGTTACTGATCTTCCCGCTTGTCCTTTTGCTCTTTCAAAAAAAACTCGATGGAATGAGCACGGTGGCACCATGGCGTAACTTTCCGTGGATGATGGACCCCGGCTGCGACAAAGCCTCTTCCGCAGCTTCTCCCACACCCACGCCCACGCCTCCCACGCCTTCCCAGCAGCATCACACATAGGCATCCCACCAATCGTCCGTGACGTTGCCATCGCTGCCCAATGATCAAGCTCAGCCCACAGTGCGAGGTGCATGCATCCTACAGCTAGCCATACCTCGGACTAAAAGCCCGACCGTTCCGTCCGGCGCTTTTGCGCCATATCGCGCGTGTGAGTAATCCTCAAGCTCCAGCTGGAATAGACCAGGCTAGCTAGAATCGCGATACCACTATATTAGTCCCATCTACATCTCGGCCGGCGGAGGTAACCGGCCTCACCGTTGGTACCGCGATCATAAAGGCGGCCAGTGGGTCCATCTGATTTTCGCCGGGAGAACGGATTCACCCTAACCGCGCCAACGGGCTAATCTAGGTTGGATCAGAAGAAACGACCGCTGTTGGGGCCAAGGCCCTCAAACAGCGGGCCTGGCTTAAGCCATGGGTGGATTCCAGATCACAGACCTCTTCACTGAATCTTCTGGTAGGATTCCCCATGCGCCCAGATGCGCCTGAGGGTCGGCCGCTTTGGCTCGAATAGGCATGGCGCTAGCAAAAAGTCGCGCGCGTTGGATATCGGATTGGACCATACCGGTGAGCTGGTGCTGCTGATTAGCCAGCACATCAGATACACCGTCTCCGCAAATCCTTCTCTTCCTGCAAGACGTCATCGTCATTCCCGACTGGGAAAATGCAGACCTTGCTTCTATATGAATCCGCTCCATCCCGCAACTTGTCTGTTATCTTGGACCACTCGATATTAAACGAACTGGCCACTCTGCATGACCAACGACGGGACATGGTGCCATGAACCTGTTGGACCTGGCTGCCTATCCGGGACGCTTGTTCCATGCCCGATGGCTTAGCACTGTATCGAGCCCACAGTTGCAGCGCTTAGGAGGGGTTGCATGGGCGCTTGACAAGGCATCAGCAAGTTGATTCGCCCAGAATCCTGGGAATACTTCGGTTAGAGAGTGGACATGTTGGAATTTTCGTCAGACCACTTGGATCAGCTGGGCCCGAGATACGCCGAACCGAAGAAGCAGATGTGTACAGAGTGTGCGACTTGGAGGTCACTACGTTTGTTTCTCGACTGGCACAGCATACGGAGTCGCCGTGATGGGTTGAGATGACGCTTTCCCCATAGTGGGTTTCGGTCTGTCTGAAGACCGGACAGAAAATGTCGCCAATGTCGACGGCACGACACGTTCGTCCTTGGGGAGATTGTACGTCGGCATCCGATGCCTCCGCTGACGGAATACTCTACACAGTTTGCTGCGTTATGGACAGCCTCCAGATTCGCCCCATTTAAAATCCAACCGGAAACTCGGCAGTTGCTCAGTAGATTTGAGGTTGGAAGTCTTGGACCAGGTTGCAATAACCAACATCAGAGTTATCTACAAGCTGCAAGCAGACTTCTGATGCGTAGTTTTCCTCACATGACACTACACTACTAAACTTGCTATTACATTGCTTGTCTGACAGCATGCTAGGATTGCACTTGAAATGCAGGTCATGCTCAACAGTCATAACACAGGTCATCCACTCACCAACCAGAAAAGTCTTATCAGCCAGCCATGTTGAACAGCAACATAAACCTATCACATCTCAATATACCTACAATCCGCACACATTTTTTTTTTGAATACGTAGCATATTGATATCGACGTGTAAGCTACAACTTCAGCTTATCGAAAGATTCAAAACCTGCATCACAAGCCTGCTCTCAATCAGAAACGTCATATTGATAGGCAATAAACCAATGCTTGTCAGCTTAGAAACTATAAATGCCACTTGCTGACTGTGAAGTGACCCAGCATCCATTCATTGCCTCCACTTACTTGCTTAACCACCATTATCTCCTCCCTAGAAACCTCTATCTACCATGTGACCTAGATGATGACCCAACCCACTGCATAGAACATTGCACTTACCCTGTTACTTCTTCTGCAAATAAGTAGGTGTATATTTGGTTACTTCTAGTATGTAGTATGATGTCTGTACTAGCGCTGACAAGCTGGATTGTGATGTAGTATATATATACTATATATGCTATATGCTATATGCTATATAGTATACGTTCGGAAAGCAAATCTAGTATTGACACCACAAAAGTAACATTCATTGCAGTATAATTGCAGCACGGTAACGAATAGTCGTAGACAAATATACGTAATCGCTGACTATATATAACTACTAGACTACTAGTACTAGTAGTACTAGAGTCCATGTACATTGTGCATACTTCAATCATTGATGTCTTCAGTTGATATTAGAAGGTGTTTTGAAACCCCATCCCTATTTATGCGAACATTACCATCAATATATATAGTATGCACTTAGTCGCGCAAAAGATGCAAATATTCCTGCAAGTTATTCATAGCCCTAGCTAGGGATAACTCATTAATCAATCCCGACATGTGCTCTCTAATTTCAAATCTAAACTTAATCTAACCTATGTACAATACGCCCAAAATGCAATGTATATATATAGTACCAAACCCATTAAGCAACTGAATCAACCCACCCACTGATCCGCCCCCTGCAGCGCCATCAACGCAAAATGACTTCCCAGTGCCGGCCTCGCTCGAAATGCAAAGTACTCACCGGCCTCACCGGTCGTACTATCTTGTACCCAGTACCGGTCCGAGAAGGGTACGTCGTTGAGACCATTAGCGATATAGGCATGGATATCGGAGATGAACATGTCCCTTGCATCATCGGTGACCGTTGCCGCCACGAAGCCCTGCCAGTTAGTTTGGCCCCAGTCGAGGTTAGCGTCGAGGGCTACGCCAGCTGGTTTGCGGACTGTGGGGTAGAAGGCTGTGGTGGCGTTG